TGCCGCTCGTTCTGATGCTGTGGTCAAAACGATTGTGGCAAACGCAAATTATACAAAGGAAAAGAGGGGGAATAACTCAAACAACTAATGACTTCTTCCGTCCATTAAAATTTTGCCCTGCAGACAAATATATTCTGCATAACAAATCATGAGAACTTTCCTTTTGTCACCGTATCACAAAAAAAAAAAAAAAAAAAATTAGTATACGACAAATAAGAGATATACGACGTAATTACAAATGGTGAGTAAACGGTACTACAACAACAACAGTTAACACTGTCAACAGATTCAACGTTAATTACCGCTGTTGTTGTCGTTGAATAGTCATCTGTTACAAAACAACCAAAATTAAAAACCAAAATACCAAACTAAAAAGAAAAATGATATCACAGTGATATCACCAGCAGTGAATAGGTACAGAAAACAACCTGAAAAAAAAGACAAGACTGCAGATATCAACAGAAAGCAAAAAAAAAAAATACTCCACCACACCTGCCCAACAATAAAACCGAACTTCTGCCGACAAAAAAATTCCAACCGGCCAGTTCGTCCACGGCAACTGAACACGCCCGTTGCTCACACGTTTACATATCGTTTGACCCGTAAAATCGCCGCGAAATAACCAACAATAATAACAGCTTTAAAATTAGTCGTGCAGTTGTTCTACCGAAACACGAATGCAAATGTATATTTTATGTTTACAGCATTTTATTTTTACAGCACTTTTGCAAAATTTGGAACTGATTGTTCGGTGTTCTGCAAAGTGATCCTTTATGTCCGTTTTTGTATAACTGAACTTTCGTATATCAAACATTAAGCACCGGTCTTTGTATCATTTTTTGGTCCTTAACACTGTTTAATAAACTTTTTTTCCCATGTTTTTTACTCTAGTTTTTTTAATTTCATTTCTTCCCAACTTTTATTTTGGTCCGAACTGTTCTACTCATCATATATTTGTGAGATGAGGATACTGATAAACCTAGTGTAAATACTTTGATTAATTACTCAATAAATGATGTAAGCTTTGAAAGCAACGTTATTCGGTAATAACTGACAGTGTTTTAGGGTATATTAGACGAAGGCAATTGGAATTTTTTTTGTTCTTTTCTGCACGCCTTCATTTCGGTTTCTTCGATTGCTTTTTTGATTTCTGCTCTTCGACGGTTTCTGATACTGTGGTTCAATTTATGTGGAAAGTTCGCCATCATTTTTACGTAATTGTTTAATTTACTTAAAAAATATTTTTTTCTTGCCTTTGTTTTTTTCATTTTTGGTATGTTTGCTTAATGCTGTGACTACCAAAGCTCTTCAACAGTTTACACAAGAATTAGAAAATAGAAACAAATGAGGTTCAACCAGTAAATTAAAATTATAATATTGTTGCGGCAGTTACTGTTCAGTTGATAAGGAGAATGGATAAAGTCTTAAGGTTCTGTATAGTTTGAAGGAAGTTATACCTAGCAAAATTATCTAAATTTTTTTGAAAGCATCCCAATGTATCAGGGTTGCTACATTTGCTTTAAGGTCAGTTTTTTAATTGACGTCACCACAGTAGAGTGATGATAAGGCGGCAAGCTACATTTAATTAAACAAATTTGAAGCCAGAGGATGTGGCAAGGTTTGGAATACTAGTTTTTGAAAATAATCAAGTTGTTCCTGCTAAAAAATACAAATTAAACAATTTTACTGTGACGAATGAACTTTGTTGAATTGTGGAACGAACTTGACAAAGAGTAATTGTAGAAGAGTGAAATATGCATCTGTATCTTCTATATCCTTTTTACAGAACAAAAAATTTTTCATTAGTCAGCTAGTTGTTTTTTTTT